TATGTGTATATATATACACAAGACACACACACATGTGTCTATGCGCGTATGCAAAACTGTTGAACACGAGGCCCTGTGCCGAAGCTGAAATTCTAGGGCGTCGCCGGTGTGCTTGTTAAGGAATTCGCTTTACTTTGTCATCCAAAGGAAGCCGGGTTGCCTATCATACCCTAAACCCTAAACCCTAACTAGATCCCAGCTGGTTACTGCAATTCTTGTTTCCTGAGCGAGAACCGAGGTTTTTTCGTGAGACCCTAAAACCTGAACCCCTATTCGTAGACTCTGAACACAAACGACAAACGTCCCTTGCTGTATGCTATAGCTGAGTAATTCTACTGTAATTATTTCTCAGGGCCTGGAGTATCAGCATGAATATTCCCTAGGCTCCCAAACCCCTAGCCTTTTATGGAGGCCCCTGTGCCAAAACCCTCGCGAGAAAAACGTCTAGGCCCACAAACAATTTCTCATAGGCAGCCCAAAAATCCCTAAACCCTAAACCCCAAAAACCCTGTTTTCTGTGCTGAGGCTTCCATCGGAGCGCTCCTGGGCATCCTCGATCTCGGCCATCGGCTCTGCAACCGGACTCCTCCTCTGCGGCTCGGATAGGGTTTAGGGTTTAGGGTTTAGGGTTCAGGGTTTAGGGCTTAGGGTTCAGGGTTTAGGGCTTAGGGTTTAGGGGACTTGCCCCAGGTTGCGGTTGGCTTCTGTGGGGGATTCGAAGTTCCTCTCATTTTGGGATTTTCGGGATTTATGTGGCTTTGCTGGGTGTAATTAGGGGTTTTGGATAAGGGATTACTGGTGTTCTGAAACCGGCGTGTTTTGGCAGGATAGTTGGAACAGCGTCTTATGAAGCTGCTGTTGGATACAGGATCTAAGTAATGGGGCCTGAACAGTTCGTACAGGTTTGGCTGCTCTTTATCGCATGGGAACCGTAAGGCATATTGTACTCACAAAATCGCGACAAACGTCCTAAACGGGGCCGGAAACATTCATGTACCCTGAGACCCAAGGCGAGGGGAGGTGGCTCAACATAATCATTCAGACAACTAAACTGAGTTCCTTCATAAAAGCCTACTAAACCAGTATTCCCCACACCCAGGGTGCGTTCAGGACCATTGGGGTTTGATATGCGAACCACAGACGCCACAAACGCTTTCCAGTCTCACTCGGAGCGTGTACAACAACATCAAGAAGCCCAACGAGACTCCTGATGAAGTTCTAAGAGGGATCCCAAGACTAAGGACCTTCAATGAAAGGCTTGGCTCTAAAGCTTTACCCGATTTATGTTATCAAGGTGATTAGGGTTCAGGATTGAAGGCGCGGCTTCAACCCAAGTGCGAGGCAATGCTGCTGGACCACCCTTGGTGGCCAACTTCGGCTGGAAAGCAGTGTGCCTCGACTTGGCCCGTCTAGATGCCCAGAGCGAGGTGTAGGGAGTCTTGGCTGTGTCGACGATGCAACCCTCCTTTTTTTCGGGTTGCATTCTACACCGTGCCATGTCGTGTCCTAGCAATGAAGGTGTTTCGGGGATCTAGACTTGCAGCCTCGATGGGCTCTATACAGGAGATCCCGAAACAACTCGTTTATATAGGGGCCTACTGTACCAATGCTATGTTGGGGGGGTTCCTTATTACTGCGCGCAAGGAGCAGTGGAACTCAACAGGTAATTGTAGAATGTAACGAGCCCGTGATACAGACCACCCTGCTATGGGATCCTGATTTTGAAGTTGCCTTTTCGAGACTTCTTCATAAACAGGTCTGCTGAAGCCTTTTCACAGTTTACAGCCTTGCAATGCTTACAGTTTTGCTTTCAATTTTCGTTCAGTTTACTTTTCGGACCCCCTATGGAAGGAGACCTTGATTGTCAGAAGCCTCGGGCCCTTAGTTCCAACCAGCCTTTGACCCCGAAGTTCGGAAATTCAGGTGTCGTGAATCGGTTCGCGCCTTTTTCGCTTTTAGGGTTTGCAAGGTTTGGGGTTTCGAACAGGTTTTCTCATAGTTTCAAGCATGGCTACAGGAGTTGATCATCATCTTCTGATTGAGGAAGATAGCAAGATTGTAGAGCTCCAAACGTTCGCCAGTTGTGTTCGTCGAAGCAAACACAGAGTGGTTCACCCTCGTGCTTTCCCCCCTGGTCATGTGTAGCCTGTCCCCTGTGCAATGCCTGTATCGGAGATACAGCAAGGTTTGTTGTTTTGGTCGCTGCACCTCAGAATTCAGATTGACTGCTAGCGAACACCCCAAGCCCCAAGCTAAACGAAATTCAAAGCGAAACCCCGTCATTGGTGTTGCAGACCAGGCTTTATCTCACCGGAGCGTGCTGCTTCGGATTCTCAGTTGTTGCTTGGGCAACTGCAAGCTTAAGCTTAAGGTCCGGAATATAGGGGGTTTAGGGTTTCAGGGTTTAGGGGGTTGTCTAAGATCATTGGTGGGTTGACGGGCCGCTCATTTCATTGTCGCAGTGCGTTTGTCTGAGCTTTGGGATTTCTCGAGTGTCTGGAACCCACGCCCCGTACGTTCGCGATCACCGTGTAGGATTCTGAACTTAAGCCCCCACTTGCCACAGCCACCTGTAACAAAACCCCTTCGCCCATTTCAGTCGATTTGACCGATTAATGCACGTAGTCGTAGTCGTCTCAAGATTAAGCTTACAAGAACCTAAGTTGGTAATCCTAAATCCACTAATGCGGCCAGAAAGGCTCGAACATGCAAAAGCCCAACCCTAAATGCTGAGTCCTTATGGTGATTGCATGAAAACGGGTATGTTTGACTGGGCCATAGTAGCGGGTAGCTGGGTCCGGAACCCTACCCAGCAACTAACCTCCAAAGTATGACCCCATGGCTCCATCACCATAGTAACATACGGTAACCATAACGAAGTATCACAACTATAGTACTTATATAGGGCATCATAACTGTTATACCTATGCGGTGTACGTGTTTGTGTGTATATATATATACATACATATATATATATACATATATATATATATACATATATATATATAATCCCCTCAAAGTTAGACGGTTCTTGGGGACCTACCTGAGGCTTGGGCCGTCTTGGCCGCCTCGTCGCCAAAAAACTGCGGCCGCGCCTCCTCAGCCGAGACTCTCGGCAGCCCTATTGTAGATTTAGGGTTTAGGGTTTAAGACTTAGGGTTTAGGGTTCAGAATTTAAGATTTAGGGTTTAGGGTTTAGGATCAAGACACCCTGGTCCTAGAACCTCAAAATATTCGTAGCCAATAAGGTTTCTGCATCAGGTTCTTAGATTATAAGGCTTCAGGACTTGCGGGCTGCAGGCGATGCGATTTGTCACGTCTGCTGGGGATGTAATACAGAAACAAACAAACAAGCAGGGGTAAAGGGGAGAGAGAGAGAGATACCATGTATGGATGCATCGATGTAGGTGATTGTAGGTGTGATTTATGCAAATCCCCCCAGAGCTGAAAACAGCTGCGTTTTATGAGGGTTTAGGGTTCAGGGTTTAGGCTTTAGGGTTTAGGATTTAGGGTTTAGGGTTTTAAGGGTACCATCAGGTAACTTAACTTAACTTAACTTAACTCCCTTAACAAGAACCCAGGAGTTGCCCTGAACAATTTAGGCCGTCACTAGCCCCAAGTGCCAGCATCCCAAACCCTAACCTCTGAAGCCTCTAAATCCAACACCCCGTGACGGAAGAAATGATGGCTCTACACGCAAAAGAAGGAAGGCCGAAGCAACATAGCCAAAGCACGAGGGAACTGAACAGATATATTGCCCACAGCAAGTGAATCCCCAGTCTTCAGAACTTATCCTCGCAACGCGGCTATAACCCTGTAAACCCCTAAAGCCTAAAGCCCTAAACCCTAAACCTTCAAGCCCTGGACCCTAGAACCCCGAAGCCTTAAACCCAGGCTCGCAATGCTGGAAAAAGCCGGAGTCTTGGACACCGGCCGGGAACAGCCAAAGTCAGCCTCGCCGCTGCGAGCCGGTTGCGATTAGGGGAGGGTTTTTTGGATTTGGTATGTCTTCTTCTTCTCGCTCTTCCATGGTCCTTTCTTTACTAGTCTATCCCCTCATAGTCTGTAGTTTTCCATCCTATCTAGTCTAAACTCTGTGCTATTCTATCCTAGCCTATCTTGTCCCTTGCTTTTCTGTTCCATGCTACTCAAGTGTAGTCCATTGCTTTCTTCTTCTATTTCGTGCTACTTATCTTTCTGTCGTTGTGCATGTATGCTCGCACGCATGTAACCATGCGCGCATGTACATGTGTATGTATGTAAGTATGTCAGTATGGATGGAGGGACGACCATGTTGGGGTAGCCACGGGGTAGAGTCGAATTCCACCTGCCATAGTCGATTACCAATTGGTGCGCTTCTCAATGTTTGAGGCAACATTCGGCAACATCTGGCCACATATGAAGCTAGTCAGTCGCGTCCTTGGGGTTCTTGCCTGGAGAACTTCGTTGTACTTTCGTTGTGCAGCATCTATACCACATGAGGTATTACCTGTTGCAGAACGGAGGATTTTTACAGAGTATGTCCATATCTTATACTCTTATGCATACACAACAATGTGTATAGAACGAGAGGGAGTGCAGATATGTATGTAAAGAGTTCCTGTCGGTTTCTTTCATCTCAAAGACGAAATAACTCCCAAATTCGATCCGCCGCCCACCTCCTTGCCAAGGTTTCCACCTTTGGCCTTTTTCACGCAGCCCTGCGTCGCTGTGCTTTTCCTCGCACACTTTGCACAGCCGCTTCCGCTTCGTTGAGGGGTGTGAGGTGTAGGTTCTGGATGGTTCTGGGTCGGGCCGTTTTTTAGGCAAGATAGGCTTCATGAATGTGGGCGAGCTTCGTAGAACCAGCAAGGTGCTTGCTAGCCTCTGCAGCCATCAAATATCAGTTCGGGGCACCCCTCTTTTCAGCTGCATCCCACGGCTAATGTGCGAGGCCTTAGGTGGGTGACTCTGGTCAGGCTTCGATAGCATCTTGGTTCGTACTTCTTACTACCACGACGGTATTTACAGAGAGAGAGAGAGAGAGAGACCGAATCGGTCACAAGACAGCCCTAAACCCTGAACTGCAGACCCGAAATTAAACGCCAAACTCTAAACCCCAAGCTTTTGATCTAGAAAAATGAGCTTGAAAACAAAACATTCCCCGACCCAAGCGTCAGAGGTCAGTGTCAGCTTCGAGGTGGAGGTGTAAACAGTCAGGGTTGGGGGAGCACCTGAACTCGGTCTAGGGTTTAGGGTTTAAAGCACCTGAACTCATGATTTTGTTGCTCTTCTGGCTTCCTTTCCGCACTCTTAGGAGAGAGACAGGGCAGAGTGAGAGGGGTGAATGTCGGGGCCTAATCACCTATACTAGTTTTGGGGGGTTTTCCTGATTATAATTGATTATGGTATAGTGGGCCCCCAAACCCTATTGTAATCATTAAGGCCTTCCTTAAGGGTCAAGTTGGGGTCTAGCCTGCCTCATGCCAAACAGGAACTGGCAGCAGTACTTTCTCGATTGGCTGCCGCCACTGGGCCGACACGAGAAGGGCCCCTACAGTATAGTTTTCTTTGGAACCGTTCCGTGCCACTGTAGTAGGCAGAGAAGGTGTCAAAGGCTTGTTTGTTGCAATGGCTTCTGGCTCTTTCTATGCGAGATCGTCGACGGACAGGAGTGTCGTCAACCATGCCATGTTGCAGCCTTTTCTATTTAGGAGTTCAGGATTTATGTGTAGGTTACAGCTATGGTGACCGTGCTCTACATATATATATATATGAATCCTGAAGTCCGAATTACATAGAACAGTAGGATGCGTGAGTAGCCTGGTGAGATCCTCCACACTTTCACGAGATGACAACTCACCACCAGCTTGGTGAGGCTGCTGGGGGGTTAGGGTTTAGAGTTTAGGGTTTTAAGGTTTAGGGTTTATATGTGCACTAGGGAGGAGACTCTCCAAATCTGCCGGCATCACCGAGGTTTTTCTACAACTCGCGGCTGGGAGTGAGTCCCGAGGTGCAGTTCGTCAAACGGACCCCGAAAGATGATTGTTTTGCATAGAAACATGTAGTATTGGGGTGGAGTGGCGGAAGGTATTTCAAGCCGTACATACCATGAAAATTGAAACGCAAACTAAACACAAAGAGCTTCAGTCATACATCTTTATATATATATATACATGTATGTATAATAGATACATCTACATATACAGTATCGCAATTGGGAAGATTTCTCTGAGCTCTCTCCACTCAAAAAAAGATTCTATTGTACTGATTAAGGGCGAAATCCTCCACAATCCAGAACCGGGAACAAATCACTCACTCACAGGCTCTGAGGCGTCCAAGCCCATGTGGACTGTTTGGGTTTGGGATAGAGAGGACGCAAAAAGTGGCATAGCTTCGGTTACTCAAGGTAATGTAGGGGCCTTAAGAATTAGAATAGGGTGTTGGGGGTTTCTTATTATAATTATGGTATAATATACCCGCCCCACCCTACTTAAATATGGTAGCCCTTAAAGAACCCGTTAAGGAACCCGTTAAAGGAACCCCAAAACCCTATAAAAATTGCTAAGGCCCTTATTTTATTGCAATGACGTCCCCTCAGCAATTGCTCAGGTCTGAGTTGTGGGGTTGGCGGTGTAGTCTTTGTAACAAACATGCTTAGGAGCTTCTACACGGCAGGAAGGCGCTTGTAGGATGGCAGTAGCTTCAAGAATCACTGCCATGATTTGCCGTAAGTCTGTATGAATGGTTATGTAAATAGAGTATCTAGGAAACCCCAAAACCCATGGTCTCGTTGTTTTCTTTCTGGCTGTCTTGCTGGCTACTGAAGCAGGCCGCTGGTTTCCACATCGCGCTGATCACGCTGCTCCCTGGCTCCGGTAGGGTGTCTGGGGTTCCGAGGATTAGGGTTCGCAGTTTACGATTAACAGCACCATCCCGCCCAAAGAATCGCATAACATCGAGAAAATCCACGATTGTTCATCGCTTTCCGGCCTGTCTGTCGATCTACACTGTCTACGCTTATATAACTTCTATGATACACGCCAAATCCGTGGCTTCACGCTCACTTCTAAAACCTACGTGTTCAGGGCGCAAATGCTTCACTCCATGAAGCTTTGTTAAAAACTTTCTAACTAAGAATTTAAGACCTTATAAAACCCTATAAGATTTGTGAAAGTTGTGCAGCCTTCTAGCTTATGAGGCATTCAAGACCTCCCATAGCCCCATAAGACTTGTAAGGAGAACCTAAACCTAAAACCCTACATTAACCCTGACCCCTAAACCCCAAACCGTAAACCGCAACCCCGAACCCCGTACGACTTGCAAAGCGAACCCTAAGCCCTAAGCCAGAAACCCCTATCCCCAGATGACTTACACCATCCCAAACCCTAAACCCTAAACCCTAAACCCTAAACCGCCAACCCAGGGTCGAGCTCCCTGCTCGCGCCATGACCAAAAACCTCCCTGAGCGGCGCCGGCCTCGGGTCACCTACAGGCCTCGAAGTTCATGAAATTCGGGCTTAAAGGGAGACTAGGGCTTCATTGTAGGGGCCTTAAATCGGTTTAGGGTTTAGGGTTTATGGGCCTAGGGTTAGGGTTCATGAAATTTGGGCTGTGTTTGGGGGCCTTAATAATTAGAATTGGGTTTTGGGGTGTGTGCGGACAGAAGTCTGGTGCGAACGAAGCTTGAGATGGCTTGTGCATCCGTCGAACTCTCAGCTATCTTTGAGCTGATCTTCTAACTGAGCTTAGTGATGATACCTTCAACGCTAATAAGCATCGAGTCAAATTTAGCAGACCATTCGTCGAGAACATGTACAGG